AAGAGAGAATGAGCAGTGCTGAGCGTTCGTGGCTACGAGTTTTGTTTTTGTAGCGTGTGCCTTCTCGGCGGAAGAAAGAAATCGCGCCCGCTGCGTTTGTCGCTGTTGCCACGAGTTGCTGTGCGACAGGTAGACCGGAGAGCGACGGTCTTCATGTCGCGTGCTGCACGCAATAGCAGCGTGTCCGAGGCGTCGGAGCTCTCGCAGGCGCCGCCTCTGCGGCGCCGGGCTGCTCTTCGCTCCTCCAGCGGCAAGGGCAACACAGCTGGCGACGGACCGGCTGGAGCAAACAGCGGGAGACAGCAGGCGGCGCTGGCTGGCTCGAGACCTGCGCAGCGAAGCCGTTCGCGTCAGCGCCCCGCTGGCACTGCCGGCGTGTCCGAAAGCCCCGACGCTCTCATCCGCGCGTGCCAGAGGCAGACCCGCTCGCTGCGGCGGGACCGCTCGATCGAGCACCGCGACGCCGCCAGGCAGGCACAGCAGGCTGGGGCGGTGCGGCGATCAGCCAGCGCGAGGCGGCCAAAGCCCGCGAGGCGGTCCGGCACCGAAGAGACGGAGGCAGCGGCCAGCGCGTCGGTGCCCGAGCGGGATTCGGTGGCGCCGCCGCGTCGGCAGACTCGCTCTCTCGCCGCCGCCGCCACCTCTACAGCAGCGGGAGATGCCGACGCAAGGCGAGAGGCGGAGGCGGCGGCGCCAGCGCCGCGGGAGCCGGCTCCTGCGGCGGCACCCGCGGCGGCACCCGCGGCGCGGAGGACGGCGGTGTCGGCAGCTGCCGAGGCAGGTGGCGGTGCTAGGCGCAGGGTGGCGGCGGGTGGCGTTGGCGGCTCCTCTAGCCGGGCACGCTCGGCGCCGCCTGGCGGGCGGCGGCGCAACGACCCGCCACCGTCCGCGGCGCTGCTGGGCAAGAGGCGCACGCGGAGCGGCGTCGGGTCGCGGCCAGGGCAGGAGGTGGAGAGGCGGGAGGTGCCGGGGTACGACCGCTGCGAGCTCTCCGACGGCGACTACGACAGCGAGAAGGAGCAGATGGGGCGACCGCCCGCGCGGGCGGCCAAGGCGGCGACGGCCCGCTCGCGCAATGAGGCCGAGGAGGAGCAGCGCGAGGAGGAGGACCGTTTCGTGGCGATGTACGACGACAGGAGCGACGCGACGACGCCGAGCGAGGGTGCCTTCGGCGGCGGGCGAGCGGCGAGAGCGGCGAGAGCGGCGACACTTGACTTTCCTCTCACATGATGCGCCGCGACCCCTGTAGGTTCTCGCCGCCCTCGGGAGCGAGCAGCTCGCGCGACGCCGATGATGGCGAGAGCGCGAGTGAGAGCGAACCGCTTTACGCGGTGCGGAGGATCTTGGCGCTCAAGCGGGTGTGGGGCGGGAAGCTCGAGTACGAGATTGAGTGGGAGCCCGACCCGACGACAGACGAGACCTACGACTCCTCCTTCGAGCCCGAGGACAACCTCGCCTCCAGGGCGTCCACTGGCGGCCAAACCTGGCGTGCTATTGGAGCAACCGACCTGCTGACCGAGTGCGCTATCGAGAGCTGCCCATCTCACAGTGTTGCACCCCTCTCACCCCCACACCACCCCGCAGGTGGACTACGTTGCGCTGATGACGAAGGACCGCTTCGTCGAGGTGCAGGCCCACCTGTCCTTTGAGCTCCCCGGCAGCATGCGGTACCCCACCGACCCGTTCCGCAAGCTGCGATATGTCGACAAGGCCCTCCTCCTCGCAGCTACGTGGGCGTGGGACCCGGAGCCCTTCGCCTGCCTCGACGAGTCGCGGGTTGCCACCCACTCGCAGTACTGCCCGTTCAGGCAGCAGATGATGTGCAAGCCGATCAAGGACGGCTGCACCGTGTACACCTTTGTCTTCGAGAGCGGCTACCTCTACGCGTGGGAGTGGTTCCTCGGGGCAGCTGCCGACACGCCGCTCCCGCTCGGGCAGCCAACTGACACAGCTCCGCTCGACGAGGACAACTCCGGCTTCATCGTGAACATCGTGAAGACGCTCGCCGGCCGACCCGAGTTCCACGGCACCGGCATGACCGTCGTGACGGACAAGGGCTACACGAGCATAACGGCTGCCATGTACCTCGCGTCGTGCGGCATCTTCCTGGTCGGCATGCTCCGCACCAAGGGCAGGCCTGTGAGTACTCCTCGCGGAGCGCGCCACTACTTCCCCTTCCGCTTCCCGACGATGGACAACCTCGTCGGCTGGGCGCGCGGCGCGCGGCGCGAGGCGTACCAGCAGCTCCAGGACGCGCACGGGCGCAAGTGGTACCTCAAGGCGGAGGTGTGGCTCGACTCGCGCTTCTGCACCCTCATCGGGACCGTCATCTTCGAGGTCAGCGACGTCCAGGTACGCCGCTGGTCCAAGACCTCCAAGGCCTACATCCTCATCGCATGCTCACGGATGGCCAAGCTGTACCAGAAGCACATGCCGCACGTCGACCGCTACAACGACCGGCACCAGAGCACGAACATCTCCATGGGCTACTGCAGGCAGCGCTACACCCGTGCGCTGTTTATCGGCTTTCACTTGGCGATGCTGGTCTGCAACACCGTCACGATCGTCTGCTGGCTCATTCCGGCCGCGGTGCTCGGCAAGCTGAAGCGGCGCGCCAAGAACGTCGGCGGCATCCTTCGCTTCTCGCAGATGCTGCTCGCCGAGAGCCTCTGCGACTTGGGTGTGTGGCTAGCCAAGCAGGAGCTGGGCGACGCCGACCAGCGGGCTCGCTCGAACCTCGCGCCGCACTGGATGTCGCGCCAGCAGCAGCGGCGTGCTCGGCCTCTGCCAGGCCTGTTCCCAGAGGTCCACGAGATTAAGAACTTCAAGACGGACTTTAGCACGCGTGAGCGGCTGCGGCTTGGCCTCCCTTCTGGTGGCAGGAGCAACTGTGCTGGCTGCCTGCTACTCTGTGAGGAGGTGGAGGGCTCGTCGCAGCAGACGCCGGGGGGGCACGCACGCTTCTATCTGCCTAGCGGCCTGCGTGTCCCGGAGCCACGGTTGGGCTGCGTCGTGTGCAAGGTCAACCTCTGCAAGAAGTGCAGGAGGCCTGTGGCCAAGGGAGGCTGGGACCATGTTGGCTACTGCCATGGCCAGCTCCCTCCAGTCTCTGGATGAGTGAGTGTGTGTGTGTGCGTGTGTGGGCCGGTTGAGAGCTGTCGTGTGAAGAGCCTCCCGGGGAGCTCGCTTGGACCGGGGTGCAGGTGGCTTCTATGAGCCACCTTACTGCTGTGTGAACCCAACAGCATCACATTCCACACACTGATGCCCCCTAGAGTAGTACTGGATGCCCTAGGGTGCACTCACATCTTGCGACTAAGGGGAGGGTCAGGCGTTCGGATGCTTAGCTCTGGGGCCTCCCCGGGGTGTTTAACCGTTGGTGACGGCGGCCTCCATGTGCCCCCATATCTCTCTGTATTTGCGCAAGCAGCCAATACAACACCCTCATACTCCCTAGGGTGGTCCTGGGCACTCTAGGGGAGCGCTAGAACACTTGGCGCCAAAGGGCGGGTTGGGGCGGGTTAAGTGACACAACTTTCGAGCGCAGCAAGCCCCGTAAAAATCGCGTCGTTCAGTCTTTAGCGTAGTCGGAGTACAGTACTTCGCATGAGCGGAACACACGAGTCTCACGACTTCACACCGTCACCTCCCGACACGCGCGCGAGAACAAAATGGACCCCAGTACGCACAATGACGGCACAGACAGAACTAACCCAAATAAACCAACCGCCACGCGTGCAAGGGGCGTTCTCAGTGTTTGACCGCTCTCGCACCCACAGCCGCCCCTCCACCCTTCCCCCCCTCCCCCCCCTGCAGCGCGGCCAGTCGGAGCTGCCCCTCCCGGAGCAGCCGCTCGTTCTCGCGCTGGTCCACGCGCGCCCGCTGCAGCGTCGCCTCCACCTCGCCCAGCTGCTTGCGGAGCGCCGCCAGCTTTGGCTCCGTGATGGCGATGTGCCTCGCGAGCTCCGCCGCCCGCTGCGCCCGCCCGTCGAGCTCCGTCTCGAGCCTCGCGCTCGCGCCGCGCCGCTCCGCCGCCAGGACGGACGCCTTTCGCAGCAGCCGCAGCTCGAAGCTGACGTCCTTGGAGCGCAGCAGCGAGTGCGAGTTGTCGAGCGCCGCAACGTACCGCCCGCCGTTTGGCAGCGCGAGCGACCCCTCGCGCGAGCCCGCGCGCACGTCGAGCAGCCTCCCGCGCCCGAGGCCGGAGCCGCCCGCGGCCGCCGGCTCCCTCGCGTCCAGCTCGCCCACATACGTGACTCGGAAGCAGATGTCGTGGGCCGCGGCGCGGAAGGAGTACTGCAGCACGGCCGGCCCGGGCGCCGCGAAGGCGACACTCTTGTTCTCGCCAGCGCGCAACTGCACGCCGCCCGCCTCGCTCCAGTCGGCGGACGGCTCGGGCGGCGGCGAGGCCGCCGCCGGGGCGCGCAGCAAGCCCAGCGAGATCTCGCCCTTGCGGTGCGAGCGGAGCACCTCAACGACCGCCTCGCAGGTGAAGTAGACCTGGCCGTCGACCGAGCGGACCACGTCGCCCGGCCGTATCTCGTCTCCAATGGCAGCCGCGGCTGAGCGGTGGATGCTGCGCACGAGGGCGACGCCTCGTTCGTTGCACAGGTCCAGCCCGATGCTTCGCGAGCGCTTCTCTAGGCGCACCCGACGCTCCCCATCGCCGTGCTGCACCAGCCGGTGCAGCACGAAGCTGCCCTGCCAGCCGAGCGACAGGCCGCGAAGCACATCGCCTTCGCGAAGGGCCCGCTCGATGGAGTGCGCGGAGTAGGGCTCCATAAAATGCGACGAGCGATCGGCGACTGTGGGTGCGTCGGTGTGGGATACAGCTGTCGTATATCCAGCCCGCGGTACGACTGTGCAGTCGTATCACTGCGGAGGGCTGTCAGGTCGGCTCGACAGTAAAAATCGGCGTTGCCGCCGCCGGCCACTTCCAGCTGCTCGGTGTGGGAGGAGAACCCATCACCGGGGGCAATAGGGAGGGAGCAGCGCTCCGCAGCGCCGAGCTCCCGCGAGTTCACAGAAGCCGCTGCCGCCAAACCCTTTTTAATGGCAGCCTGGACCCTGGTGCCTGTGTGTGTGTGTGGCCTTTCCCATGGTGTTTCTTTCTTTCTGTGAATCGTGCTTTTGGAGAGGGGGAGAAAGCCTTTGGGTTGCGAAATTGGGAAGCTTCGGCTGGCGCTGGCGGGGAGGGGGCAAATGCAGCGTGTCTGTTTTGTTTAGAAGATTTTTAGCAATACCAAGTTGTGTTGCTGTTTGTTTGTTTGTGGCTCGGATATGTCTAGATAAATAGAAGCCAACGAACCAATAAGGTTATGCTTGTGTTGAGTTCTTAGTTTTGGAAGCTCGAGACCCGCGTGGCCCTGGCGACGTCACCAAGCGCTTAGTCTACGTACGCACGTCCCCTTCTTCCACCCATCATGGTTGCCCTCCGCAAGCGCATGCTCAAAAGCCTCAAGAAGCGCCTGTCCAAGCGTGGCAAGAGCGAGGCCGACATCGGCGCGACTCGCGAAGTTGCGGAGGTCACCGACCAGGGCGCAACCTCCACTGATCCCGTTCCCGAGACCGACGCCGCGGCCGCCGAGGTGCCCAACCTCGTGCAACGCCTGAGCGGGATACTTGCAGACGCTGCCGAGAAGTGCGTGGGCGCTCGCTGTCTGAGCAAGTCAGCACCGGGCGAGGCGGCGGCGTCAAAGGAGGAGGCAGCGGCCGAGGAGGAGGTGGTGCTGGCCGAGGCCAAACCGGCAGGAACTCCGGGCGGCCGTCTGTCGGAGGAGGAACTCGAGGCGGCGCGCTTGCAGTGGCGCGATTATGGCCTAAGGAGCTTCGACATGGCACTGGCCAAGGAGATGTCTGTCACCCGTGCCGAGTACGACGAGGTCGACGAGGTGGCAGCTGCCTACGCGCACGCGACGGCCGAGGCTGCGGCAGCGGAGCCTACCCTCTTCGATACGCTAAAGAAGTCGGTCTCGAGCTACCTCGGGCGCGACACACCGCCGGTGGAAGAGACGCCCGTGGCGTAAGCCCCGGCCGTGTGATTCGGGGGATCGCCACGCACGTCGTGTGTCGGGGACTCGCACGGGGTCTGTGAGAGTGAAGCTGCACTGTGCGAACGCCAGGGAGCTCGCCGACGACGTGTCGTGCGCTCCGCGTATTTATCATTATGCTGGGCCGTGCACCTGCGGAACAGGGCGACCACAGGAAAAACGATCATGCATGCTGTGGGTCAGGACGATTTCTATTATATATATTGGAGCGTCAGCGCAAGCGTCTCAGGACTCAGCGGCGCAGGCGCACGGCGCCGAGGAGGAGGAGGGGGGGGAGGAGGAGGAGGAGAAGAGCGAAACACACACGCTGCATGTGCATGCGCGTGTGCATGCAGCATGTTTGTCCCCACTCAGGGTTATGGGAGCGGCCATAACAGGTGTTATGGCTGTTATGGCTGGCTGCTCATAACACCCCATAACACCTCATAACACCTCATAACACCTCCATCGCTGTTATGGCTGTTATGCCCACCCTACCATAACACCTCATAACACCTCATAACACTCATAACAGCTGTTATGTGCCACTGATTTTTCTTTTGGAGCCCCGCGCAAGGTAAATTCTTCTTTCGTGTACCTGTGTTAGTGCCAGTGCGCGCCAGTCCCGAAAAAGAAAGAAAGAAAACAGACAACCCAAGGCCGGCCCCATAACACCCATAACACCGTGGATCCGGGACGGCTCTCTCATTCATAGCAGCCCATAACATGTTATGGGCTGCTATGCCCCGAGAGCCATAACACCATAACAATAACTGCGCCTGGGGACCAGCATGTGCGTGTATGTCCGAGGGGGATAAGTTCCGCGCGCATGCATTGCCCCAACAAGGATCCGCAAAACAAACAAGGGTCTCCCCCGTCCGGGTCGCGCAATGCTCTCGCTGCTCGCGCTCCTGCCCGGGCTTCCGGCGCCTCCAACCGACTCCTGGTTCGAGGCGTACAAGACATTCGACGAGATTGTCACCTTTATGGACAATACCGACTTCACCTCCAGAAATGTTGCTGGGCGTTCTCACGAGGGTCGAGAGGTATTGCCTCCGCACGTGGCCTTGCCCTCCCGACGGAAGCTCACCGCACCCCGCACGTCATCTCAGGTGCTCGTCTATCAGTACGGCGACCCCACCAAGCCTGGCCTGCTCGTCCTGTGCACCGTGCACGCTCGGGAGTGGATCTCGGCGATGGCGTGCCCTTGGGTGGCACAACAGCTCGCAGGAGACGATACTGCCATTCTGGAGACGAACGCCGTGTACATCATGCCGGTCGTCAACCCGGACGGCTACGCCTTCTCTCACGCGCCGGAAGGAAACCGGTACTTTCGCACCAACCGGCGGCCGGGCAGCTACTTCGGTGTCGACTTGAACCGCAACTTCCCTCGCCACTGGAACAGCTGCAGCCAGTGGCGACGCTGCTCCTCCGGCAACGTGGGCTCCTCCTCGCAGACGTACCGAGGCCCATCTCCGGGGAGCGAGCCAGAGACGCGCGCCGTCATGGCCGTTGCCGACGAGATTGAAGCCACCTCCGGCCTAGTACTCTTTGTCGACGTTCACTCCTACTCCGCAGTCGTGAGCGGTCGATACGACGATGCGACGGCCGACATTTCGCCCATCTCCGCGCAGCAAAACGTTGCCGGACCAAAGATTGTGGACGCCATGAACTCGATTGATGGCTATGGCACCACACACTGTGCTGGAGCGGCGCCACCAGCGGAGCTAGAGCCCTCCCTCACACCAAAATTGCGTGTAAGCAGGCTACCAGTATTGGACGGCCGCTGACTGGTCCTATTCGGCGGACGGTACTGCCGGCAAAACTGAGACAGGAGCAACGCCACCGGCGGGGATTGAACCCCGTGCTCACCTGGATGTGCCGCGAATGTTAGGCGACCATATGTTCGAGGAGTACGGCCAGCCGTGGAGCTGGCTGATTGAGCTGAGGCCGCAGTCGTCCGGACAGGGCGGCTTTACGCTCCCCGCGTCGGAGATCCTGCCCACCGTCCAAGAGGTGGACGCCTTGAAAGGGTGTACGGGACGGAAGCTTGCGCTCTTCACATTCCAGGTGTGCCCTGGATAGGCGTTCGCTGGGCTTGAGCAGATGTGCGCGGAGGCGGGGGGTGAGAAACCGAGCTCCTACAGTGGTACCAAGCGGGCGGCCGATGGCGAGGTGGCAGGCCGAGAGGGGGGTCGAGAGGTGGGCGAAATCAAAAGGGAGGACAATGCCGTCGCAAACGGGGACGGCGCTCTCCCGAGAGGCCCACCGTCGCAGGGACAGCGCGAGGAGTAGCGAGCGGTGCCCGACTTGCCCTCCCCCCCCCCTAGGCCCCATCCCCAGGGCCTCCAGGGCTCGCACCGCTCAACCTCTCATAGGCCAGCGCGCAGCGCCAAGGAGTATTTTCTTCTCAATAACAAACAAACGACCCTCTCTGCCTGCCCGCGCCGGAATATGCCAATGCGTGGGATTGGTGGATTGCAGTCATGAGATGGGATGTGGGTCCTCCGACGCCAGATGACAGGTGTCGAGTTTGGCACCTTGACACGGACGAGCATGGTTTCAGCTAGATGGTGTCGAGGGGTGTCGAGGGGTGTCGAGTTGGTCGAGTTGGCATGGGGTGTCGAGGTGTCGAGTCGGTGTCGAGGTTTGGTGTCGAGGTGTCGAGGCCAGGGCTCAGTATGCTTGGCCCGGGCGCGGGGTAGACGCCCCAGAGCTTGATGCAGCGGTCGCGGATGGAGTTGTAGTACTTGTTGAAGTAACGAGCAGCGGCGGTTGCACGAGGGGCGGTGCGCTGCCGCCAGCGAGGGCGTGGCCCTGGTAGGCTGGCCTGTCACGTAGTGATGGCCAGACGGCGAGGAAGGCGGCGACGAAGCACGCGTCGGCGACGTCGGCGTGCCCTCCGATGTTTGAGCCGCCTTTCGCCACCGAGAGCTGCACCTCCTCCCAGGCGCGGTCGAGCTCCTCCGTGGGCGTGCCGTTTGCCCTGGCGAGGATCTCGAAGGAGGTGCGCAGCCGCGGGAGCACCACCGTGTTGAGGACGGGCACGATGACGTCGGGCAGGTGAGTCCGCATCCAATAGTACGGGGTGCCGTTGCGCGAGCGCAGCAGCTTGTAGAAGAGCTGCGAGACGTCCGGGTCTTTGTCGGTGTCACGCAGTTGGTCGACCTCGTACCTTGAACGTCTTGCACAGCTGGTTCCGCTCGTACAGGCGACCCGCGTCGGTGTCGGGCGCGACAAAGGTGCCGACGACTTTGACACCTTGGATCTCGCCCTCCTGCTGCTCAAGGATTGCAGCTGGGATGCCGTCGACGCCACCCGCCGGGCAGATGGCCTTGATCTTGGTGTCGTTCGACACACAGCCGCAGTCCTCGAGTCGGTTGGTCTGCAGGCGCTCGAAGGCGTCTGCAGCTGTCTGCTCTGCTCCGTCGCCATCGACGCGGCGCGGATGGCGCATGTACGTGTCGTCGGCTTGGCACAGGATCTCAGCCGCCCGAAACTGGCGTTGCGTGCAGCAGAGGGAGAGGTGGTACGGGAGGCAGCAGCCGTTGGTGGCGAGGACGCAGCCCTGCTGCCCGCCCTGAGCCGAGCGGATGACCTTTCGCATGACGGTCGCGAAAGAGTCGCCATCGACGATGTCACGCTCGTCGTCCTCGCCATCGTCGGCCCCTCCCTCGCCGTCGGTCGCAGCGGCGGCGCTGATGATTTCGATCGAGAGCTCGCCGTCGGCGCAGTTGAAGTAGATCGGCGACGGCGAGCTGTAGAAGACGGAGTAGACGGGCACGCACGGCTGGAAGAGCTCCTCGCCACGCAGCGCCTTGAACATCTGCGAGCGGTCGACGCAGTCGTACATCTGCCGGATGTCGTCCGAGAAGAGGACGTCGTTCGCACCGGCCACCGGGTCCATCCACGAGCGGACGCACATCGAGGTCTTCTCGGAGCCGCTCGGGGCGAAGTCCGAAGACGTTGTTGACGACAAAGTTTTGCGGCTCGAGGGCGGTGTCGGCTTGGGGCCTTCTCGACAGCCGCCGCTGCAGCCTATGGCGCTCGCGGAGTCGGACGCGGCCGCCACCGTCTGTTGGTGCCCCTGCTGGGCAAAGGCGAGCGGGCCTCCGCGTCGCCGATTCTGGTCGCCCGCTCCTGCGCGTCAGTCGGGTGCATCGACGTGTAGAACTTGTTCCAGCTTTTTTGCATCTCGAGCGTCCCGCACCGACACGCCAGCCGACGGATGGAGTCGCCAATGCCGAGGCAGCGAATACGCTCGCGTTTGTCGTCCTTGTAGAAGGCGCACGCGCGGATGGGGCAGAGGATCTTTTTGGCACTCGTCGCACACCGCAGGCACACCGTGGCGTGCCAGATCGACTTGACGAGGCCGCGGCAGTCCTCCTTCCCGCCGTGGTGGTAGACGAGAGACCACGTCTCCATGGTGACTCCGTCGACGCCCGCCGCTCGCTGCCGTGGCGGGTTGAGGAACACCTTGTCGATGTACTTGTCGCTCGGAGCAAAGGTCTTGACTCCGGGCACCCGCTTGAGCAGCTCCGGGTCGAGCGGCTCTTTGGGCTGCTGAAGCGTGACGGCGTACTTTTTCTGATTCTCGGGTTTGGAGGGGTCGACGACATCGGCGGGCTGCAGCTCCTGGAGGCCCTTCTTGGCCTCGCCGAGCCGCGTCCGGCGAAGGCAGCGCGAGTGCATGCTCGCCTGGCTGCGCGGCGCGAGCGCGTTTTCGGCGTTCCCACCGCCGCCGCCGTCTTCGCCGTCGCCGTCTCCTTTCTCACGGTCGCCCCCCTCGCGAAGCATCTCCTCGAGAGCGTCACGGAGAGCCCTCGGCGATGAGGCCGCGATAGCCCCCCTTTCGATGACGGCGGCGTCCGAGCGAGTGCGCTCGAACCTGGGACGGCGCATGATGACGGCGTACGCCATGCAGAAGGCCTTGAGGCTCGCCGCGCCGAGGGGTGTGGCTTCACATAAACGCACAACTCCGGACCCAAGACGCACAA